ACTTTGAAAATGAGGGTAAATGTGTTAGAAAGTGTCATTTTTTCATACTCATTTTGCTTGTTTTTTGTAGCTACAAAAAGACAATCAAAGATTTGATTATTTTAAATGAGCATTATACACAAATAAATGAAAGATAAAAATCATTAACTAGGTGAAGTGTATTGTTCAAAACGAACTTAAAGACAGACAAAGAGCCAGGCCTGTACAACTCACCCACCGATCTAATCAAGTCCAGTCACCTCTGCATGACTGAAACGTGTCCTTTCAGCTCTGGAAATCCGAACACTTTCACACACCACAGGCAGAATAATAAATGAACTGTAGATACACTGATCACATCGCGGGCTCCTCGGCTCTCACATGTTTGTCTTTGCAGTGTGAACAGACTAAGCCCCTCTACTCAGCTGTCATAATTTGTTAACGAGTCTTTTCAGGGAGGGAAAAAAGAAAAAGAGAAGACAGAAAAAAGAAAAGAAAGCTCTTCACGAGTGACTGAAAGCAGAGGTCCATCCAGAGAGGGAACCCAGGGGCGACATCAGACCGATTTCAGACCAGCCCGTGATGGCATCTCTGTATATTTTAATATTAATGACCTCGGCCGCAAAGCCGCCTCTAAGCTTCCAACAGGTGCCCCCAGCCCCACTCGAGTCTGAAAAACTGGGATCATTCAACGTCTCGCTAACCACCGCCGGTCAATAAAGACTGCACATGAAGAGGACTCCAAGAGAAGGGAAAAAGACATAAAGAGTGGAAGGGGAGTTACAGAGTCAGTCATCTCTTGCAAATAAGTTTTTGAGTCACTTTCCCCAGCTGAAACACGGGTCGATATTTTTCCCCCCCTTGAGAAAGAGATTGACTTTTGTTTGGAGTTTGTGAGAAGTGGGAATCAGAAGCGGGACAATGGGACTCCCCACGGCGAGAGGCTGAGAGGAGCCATCTCAAATCAGTCAGCCAGGGGACTGACTAATCCGTCCATTGTACCTCCCCAGCCACCGGCCGCACATCAACACATTCGCCCCCCATTGTCCCCCACCCTCATGCAGCGGGATTTGCTCTCCCCAACAGCCAGTTTTGTCCACGGCAGTTCGAGCGGAAGTTTCTCACTGACAATTTGCCCCAAATAGATTTGTCAGAGCGTCCAACTGCACCGCACCGACTTGTGGGTTTCTGGGTTTGGGTCTTGGGTCTGTGTTTTTGGTGGTGGTGGTTGGGGGTGGGGGTGGGGGGGGCCTTTGGCGTGTGTATGTGAATGCGTGTAAGCGCGCATGGGTTTTTCCGCGCGCACGCACAGGTGTGCCAGCATCTCTTTTACACAGCAGCTAACGAGGTGGCGCTAATGTCTGCGGTGGCAGTGGAGGAATGCGGGGTTAGGCCTGTGGAGTTTAAGGAGCAGGACTATAGTGTTACTGTACTCACAGACAGCGTGCTCCTAGATGAGCAAGCACGACAACAACACTGTGCTCCTGAAGCATTAAACGCCCACTTTAATAACCACTTTGAAAGAACTGCTGACTCCAAACCTTCCAAGAGAAGCATGTTGCTGTACACACTGTACCCGATCAGCTGCTTACTCAGCCTCATAGCGTTAACATCCTTTAGATAGAGAGTTGATGTTGCAACTGAGGGAACTGAGTCTGTTTTCTCATTATAACTCACCTGCAGTTGCTTCAATATGTCCAATGTGATTCACCATTCGTGAGTCTTGAGTAATTTCGATTGAAGACTTGCCATCAAAACAATTTGGGAAGCCAAATGTGGTCCGATGTGCAAGTGGAAACCTGCGGGCCCCTTAAAATTTTGAAGAATCGCTCGGACAGGTAACCTGCATCTATTCGGTGACTCTTATTGAAGAACTGTCCGTGGTGCTGAAATCAGACTGATTATTTTCCATTTCTTTCGGATGTTAAATCATATTTTAGGTTATTGGGTATTAACAGTACCTGGGGAAGATCTTTCAACTGCCGTTTTCGGAAATGTCCCAAACAAACCTTTTTGCGTGGAATGTTCGAGTGGAATGTTTTCAGAAAATCACTGTCATTACCATAGCAGATGAAGTGATTCTTCACGGTCCAGACAACTAACCTCCTCGGCTAAACACGATCAGTGTCTGTAGGCTATGAGATGACTGAAGATCATCTCCCTGGCCAGTTTTCAGAGATGCACGGCTGCTGGGGCCTTTGGTCGACTTGAATTCTCCCTATTATTTGCTTTCTGGAGCTTAGTGACTTCTCTCCAAAGCCAATTGGTTTACGCCTGGTCGGTTCGGGGGGCCTCCACAGTGATACCAGTACATAAAAGATGGATAAACTCTAATGGATAGGATCTATTTGAAGATTCCCTAAAAAGCAAAATATTGGATGTTCTAATATTTTTTTAAAAAAAATCAACAGGTGCACAATTCAAGAATATAAAATCCGCTTTCTGTCTGATATGTGATGTTTTCGCAGGTGTTTTTTCTCATTGTTCGAAACTCATTCAGACATTGAGCACACACCGCGGTCTCCCTGCATTGTTCTGCGCTGACTTCTGTTGGACTCTCACTCTTTTCTCGTTGTTAAAGTCTATACTATAGTATGTCAAGTATCCGCATACTGATGCCGAGATCCCCCTCCCCAAAAAACAGATACACAATCCACTGCCCCCTTTGTTGGCCACATTTCATTGACTGCTGGAGGAGAAGAGAGTCACTCATACAAAAAAAGTGAAAGAAGGCAGCCCCGGCAACCATGATGTTGGTTATATTTGTGTAAAGGCTATCAGTGAATGACGAGGATTAGGACGAGTTAAGGAGATTATGTCACACATTCACCATTCACCCAACCCAGCAGCCACCCACACACATGCGCACACACAGACACACACTCACACACATACACCACTTCACGTGCATTTAGAAACAAATGAAAACTGTTATCGATTACTGATTATGTCTTCGTTAAGGAAAGTTATTGGATCTCATTTCTTTTGAAAGGTCAATAATTTAGGAAATGCAAAAATAAGCCAAAAATAAGTCTGGGGGGGGGCGGGGGGGGGGCGACTCGTATATTAAAATTCTACAGTAGGTTTTATAAGTGGCCTATTCAGAGAATAGTTAAAACACACAATTTGCGTCTATAAACGTCCTACAGAGGGCCTCTCTATGAGCCCCCTCAGGAAAATCAAAGGAATATTAGAATGATTTCTCCTCAGGCTTGTTAGGCTCCAGCCGGAGCCGTTCAGCTAAAGGGCAGATTGAAAGACACGACAAAAGCTAATTGCAATTAACTACGCCTCTCCGCCTCGCCCCTGTCCGCTTAAATCGACACTTTGTGAGTCCATATGGCCTTCAGTGTACCGTGGGAATGAACACAATTAAAACAGAATATGGATTTCTGGAGTTACCCGGCGAAAGCGCAACAAGCTGTCAAGGTCAGTGTGTCAATGAGTGGGCCCCGGACAGCCGGCCGTGGTCTGCACCTTCATGATCGGATCACCCACTACAGAGAATTCTGGCAGCTACAGTGGCAGATAGATAGATAGATAGATAGATAGATAGATAGATAGATAGATAGATAGATAGATAGATAGATAGATAGATAGATAGATAG